TAAAACATTTGATAATAGACTGAAATACTTAAAATCAATCACTTACACAGAATTTTATCATGTCTATTTCAACTATACAAATAGCTTTATAGTACAATAATTAGTGTTTGTACTAAATATCAGTTGTGTTTGTATAAGAAGTGTAGTAGCATTGGACCATAACCACACAATCTTCAAAGCTGAACACAAGACTACTCAGAAAATAGATATTCAATATTTAACGCGGAGAAATACCTAATGATGAAAAAGGCGGGAACAGTTAATTGAATGAATTGGAGTTGATCGAATGGCATGACTCGGCCATGCAGGCATGGTCCCTGCTGAATATTACCTTATATCTTTTATTCATACTAAATATATTGTTCTTCTTTAGCCTAAGCTTGTTCTTCATCATGTATTGGTAGTTGTTACGATACAGTGAGTTGGTGTAGACGATGATGTGACTTCCACGTAAGATCTTATAGATTAGGTAGTTATATCATGACAAATCTACAATTTTAGGATTAGGTCTATTATTAGAGCAGTACTAATATCATAGTAGACCATAATTCTACAGAAGTATATATACACATATATAGGTTTTTGTACATCACATATCATTAAGGGCTCATTGTGTTATCTTATCATTAAAACATTCTTATTAATACACATTTGTATACATATAGTTTTTATGTCCGATTATCAATTTTATTTTGTAATAAATGACTGACAAATAAAATCAATCATCATTATTATTAATCACCTTAATACTATAGTTACTACTACTAAATGAATAATAGTAGCAGTTTGTAAATAGTTGTCATAATAAATAGATGAGTGTTTCAACAAATAAAATTCAAAATAATATACATTATATAGTTATTTCACTCTTTATATTAGAGCTATTTATTAATGTATATTCTTGTAAGTAGAATGTAATGTTGGAAATTTATGTATTATGTTGAAATAGGAGATAATTCAATGTTTCAACAAGTTAAATACATTAAAGTGACATCTTCACGTTGTAATCTAATGTTTTTATAATAAAACTCAAATCATGATACCATCAGTTAGTAGTTAGATTCCTATAAAGTTAAATCCATCAACGATGCTCATTCAAAATAATTAGTTATCAAAAACGTTCTTTATATAGTAAGAAAAGCCATTCAGGGAAGTTAATATTTTGCTCTTTTTGACAATATCACTTACTACAGTTACATTGTATTATTCATAATTAAAACACACATAAGCACATATTTTAGTATTAGTTCACTAACAAATTATTTGAAAACGGGATTAACAACTAGTTCTAGAATCAGAGATGCAATAATTATGGAGTCGTAAAGAATCCAATGGAATTAAAATTTATTATAGATGAAAAGCGAGATTTAACTTATCACCTAATAAGCGTAAATTAGACAAACGTAGGACACAAGGGAATAACAATCATCCTTCAGTTAAGTCAGTCAGTCAATAACAACGTAGAACTTCGTACGTACGTACATCAGTTCGAGTTGCCACACCACCTTAACACAGAGATGCAGTTGTCGATTCAAATCCCATTGTGGTAGAGGTAGCAAGAGCGTAAGCAGTGATCGGGAAAATTAGGGTTTAGAGATGTTATTTAAAGAGTATAATTCAGTGAAATAAATTTGGAAAGAGGAAAAAAGGGACATGAAGAATTCAGAAGATTAGATTGGACAAAGGGTCCAGATAATAATATAGGAGAAAATTATTAATGGTTTTTTTAATCGACGCAACACAAAAATCACTTGAATACCATCTTCATTTAGGTTACTTTTTGACTATAAAGATAATTCTAGAATACTGATGAAGTTCAGTGAACAGACTTGTAGCAAGACACAAGAAACAAACTTATTGGCTAACATTATCCAGTTGACAGTTTAACAAAGTAATGCATGGTAATGCAAAGTATCAATAAAATAAATTATTCAATTATAACTTAATGCTTATAACAAATTATAGCTTAAGCGTAGTAAGTCCAGATTTTCATGTCAATCAATTGGATTATTAGACAGAAGTAAACCAATAATTACCAAATATATGTTACACTGGACGAAACAGTGTGTACAAATTATTGTATGCATATCTCGAAATACTTTATTTACATATAGACTAGCATTTGTGAGTGCTATTCATGAGTTTATTTTTGGACAGATTCCAAAACCGCTAAGCTAATAACAATGTGCGAAATATTTCGCGTTACGTGGACAAGGTGATTAAATTCATAAGTCAATAATAATTGACGACGTCACTCTAAACAAAGAAAAATCGAAAATGTTTTATTGTATTATTGCAGTTTGAGGGATAACAAACCCATAACTTCACAGTCTGTAGTGATCTTTACACCATGGTGAAAACGACCACGGGAACGGCAAGAGCCCACATTTGTACTCGGAAGTAACCGAGAAGTCTGTGTATCTGAGTAGTTGAATAAGTGCTGGTGGTAATAATTTGATACGTAAAATGAACTTACCCATGTTAAAAGTTATAAAACCTTACACTAATCTGGACCATGTTCGGTGCAATATTTCTTATGGCAAAACAGGTGGCTGTACAACTCAGTAAGTTTTGTTAAACTAGTTTTAAATCTGATCAATACAAGCTGATGTCCAAAATACGAATGAACGGTGATCCCCCGAGTATTTTTCTTTTGATATTCATATCCAGTAATAATTCTTGTCCAAATGATTGAAATACACCCGTGTTATTTCCTTACCTGAACATCGACCTTTGTTATATACTAGTCCTATTCCTTTAATTCCAGTATTTTTTTTTCCCTTTTTCTATTTATTCACATAATTTTCACTTTAGTCTGTGTCATTTTTTTTTGATGCCTTTGGGAGAAATCTATTTTGTCCCATAAAAAAAACTACATGCAAATAACCAGTAAATTATTCGCTGATAACACCGTACCTTGTTATTGCAGCTCGGTAGCTGTCAAATCACAACTAACCATGACTTTTTATCAAAAAATGATTATAATGGACATATCCGGCTAGACAAAAGAAATGAACTACCGCGTGAACAAGATACTAGTTCGCCATACAACAATTTAAGGACAAGATTTGATATGCTTCCATAGAGCAGACAATTGTAAGGAATTATCGCGTACAAAGTTATACTACTTTCTAGCTCCAAGTAGTATCAGCTTGATAACGCCACTCATTCCAACTGGAATTTCACATCAATTGTATTCGATAACAGTACACTTCATATTTTAATATGAACAAATTATGGGAGCGAATGTACTTAGATTTGAGTAGTAAGACTAAATACATATAATGAGTTATTTATGAAGTAAGAAAATTAAATCTTGCCAGTAAATGAACAAACAAGCTTATGAAAGTTGCAAAACATGTTTTATCAATTGACTATAATCCTATAACAAGTTCAGATCTCCCTTATTCGGCAACAGAACTACAACCACAATCCATCTGTTACACTTTGAGGAGTGTAACCACTGAGTAATCTATACCAACTAGTAAACAACCAAATAACGCTAGATACAATCGTAACTAACTTAAGCTTGCACCGTGTGCAACCCAGTAATCATGAATACTGATGTTTGGGACTTCAATTAACGCCTTATGACAGTCTGTTGATAAGAAACCAATTAATTAGTCAAATTGTAAAAGTTGCGGTTTCGTTAAAGCTCAGAATTAATCTATGTTTGATGGAGAATTACACATATATCTACTTTTTTGCGACTGATAAAATGCTAGAAATATAGAATGATAGCGGTTTAAATCTGTATGTCAATTGTTTAAAAACTTGGATCTACACCAACCGATATTTGCAGCACACACCAAAATCAACAGAAAATTCCAACTGTTAAAAGATGAACATTACAAAGTGGTTAATTGGTGATAAGACTTGTTTTCGCTAAACGTTCATATAAAACTGTTAGCTAAAATTGTACATTGTTCATGTGAGGAAATACTTTACTGAGTTCCAAATGTGGATCATTGCGAAACAACTGGATCCAACTTTCATCTCCCGTCTTAAATCATTAGTCCTATCATTCCTTATTTCGAATTATATTTTTTATGCTTAGTCTCTCTTACTATCATTCGTACTAGCACTTTTCCAATGGTTTTGCTGTGTTGATATGGTGAAGTTGATCTACACTTATCTCATGCTCCACATTGATAATATTTGCTTGATTAGACATGAGTTCTTATTTAATCATAGATAGTCAATACTATGAGAAATGAAAACGAGCCAATACATTACTCTATAAATGTTTTTAACTATGATGATGTTCGATAAGTCGATTTCATTCCAGCTTACAAGATGAACAAAAGTAATTATGTGAGTGCTATCATAATATGATAGTATTCGACGAGTAAGTCTCCGTTACAAAGAAATAATATGTTAACCATATAATAATAGCATAAATCTAGTGACTAAATAGTTCTTTCGATTTTAATACTGTTATTAGGACAGTTCTAGAGACTTCACAGCAATTCAACATATCTTGTATACTTTTGTATACTCTTAAATAGAAACCGTATGCTTATAATAAGTGACGGAATAAGATTATTTTGGCATTAAATGAGCATTCAGTTCCACTTTGTATGGAGTACGTAACCAAAAACTCTTAACAATCCAAAGCTACGATAAAATGAACTTGCATCCAATTATGCCAAACTGTTGACTTTTAATTAGAATCGAACTGTTCATGACCAATTAACGGTTGCACATGACACTGTTCAAGATAGTCATAATTATATTCCTTAATTCCAAGCGTTCAGACGAACTCGAAGCCATCACTCGGGTATCTATAAAATTCAACTCTAAACTCAAATTCCAAGTAATACTATGACATTCAACGACTAATGTGAACAAAAAGATATCTATGATGAAGATTACAATTAAATAATTCCGATTTGAATTATCGATTCGGTAGGTAACAGGTAAAAACCTCTCTTGAATTGACTTTATTCATCCAATGGGTTTATTTCGTCATTTGAAGATTGGAAAAAATACAAATCAAGAAAAGCGTACATAACATTATTTATTATTGAATAGTGCATTGCTAGCAGTACAGTTATTAAAATGAGAATGTAAAGAGAAGAGGATATCCTTAACTGTACAAGACCAAGATTTACTGACTGAAAACGATTCTGAACAACCTTCATAACCACCGTTGACATTTCGCATTAAATTACACCAATCTCCCGCCATATCATTTCGAAACTGGTAATTAACACAAAACTGATCATTCATATGTAATTCAAACAGACTTGAAACCAGACAATCTGACATTGTAGGTGCCACTTCCTTTGGTGTGCATTGTTTACCACAAGCTTCACTCAAACACGTAACATCTCGATCAGCTAAACCACAAGGAACGATTTGTCTTAGCCATGAAAGTGGTTCAGTGGTACAGTTTAGAGCAATCCCATGATACGTTATTGAACTGCTCTGGCGGATACCTAACTAAAAATAAATTATTAACTGAGAAAATAACAAATAACTTGCGACATTCTAATAATATACAAAAAGTTCAACCCACAAAACACAATGTCCACTTAGGTCGACTAATGGGAAACCATTTGTACTATAACCATTTGTACACATAAATAAATAAAATGAAGCATAAAAATGTGTATATCTATACCACAAACTCAAGTCACTTTAATATAATTTAGGACAAGCAACTTGACTATTCCAAAAGTTTTACATAGTAAACTCACTTTTTACAAATTAAACTTTTTGAAACTTAGCAATTAAAAACATATCTTACTTTGATTCGCTATGAAAATTAGACAACTTATAATCTTAAAGAGATCAACAACGAAGATTGGTGCAGAATAATATGAATTTATTTTATTTCTTTAGTTTCGCATCAGCTACTTGCAACCTATAATATTTGAAAATCAACGTTATTACAGATATTTACATACATACATAAGAGAGCGATTAAAAATGAATATACATATATATATCATGATGTAGCGAAGATTTCAAGAGTGAATAAGGTTATAAAAAATTTGTTTTGGATAAGTAAAGTTTGAGAGGGAAAGTTCCAAAACATTGAAACAGTGATTAGAATTCATGGAGTTAACAAACATTATATGATTGTGTAATTAAGCAACTCAAAATAGATTAATGGTGATAAAAAAAGGTATAAATTGAAATCAGTCAATTATGAATTGAAGAAAAACGACAATGATGTAATTAAACTTGAATGATGTAATGAATGAAGTAATAATTAAAAAAGGTGTGATGTTACCAGGGCAAATAAAGATATATTACTGCCTCTTTTTGGGTACATAGATCTGGTTTTAGACGTTTGATTGCTATTGCTTCGACGAGTTTCAAAAGGTTCGAGTTTGATTGTTTGTTAATCACCTTGAAGGAGTTCAGTGTATCGACTTCATGTCCTGTGTCAAGATGTCCTGCAACGGCACTGCTGAATGCTTCCAATCCATTTAATCTTAAACTTTTCGGAATATGTCCTTTGAATCGGATGCAGGTTCTCCTTTCTGTTCTACCAATGTAACTGCTTTGGCAGATACATGTATATTTGTATACACAGTTGGTGGTAACATGAAAGGGATACCTGTCGACCTTTAATTGTGTCAAAGAACATGTGGGTGGAAGTGGTCAGAGGAAAGTGCGATTAATTTTATAGGGTGTAAGCTTACCAAAAACCCAAGAAGCGTATGATGTTTTCAGTTAGAAAAGATAAATTTAACGATACTCACTAACAGGATCATTTACTGCGGACAAGATCATCAGAATCAAGCTATATTTCTCAAACAACAACAAATTGTCGCTGCTCATGTTTGGAGCTTAACTCTGATTACGCAAATGTGTTTATTCTACAAGACATCAATTAACGTCTGGGATTAAAATCTATGTTGTGAAATGCTGTAAAAGCGGATAATCAAATCTGTCTACAGATGTAACAGGTAAATTTTAGAAATACTGGATCGATGAAACAGCCAGAGAATTCCTAGGAAGCACAATATTTATGTCGATATGCAAACTGACAGATCTAATTTATTATACTGTACGAACAAAATCAATCACATGATCGGATGACAACCAAAAAAGACACTCAAAAGGTATGTGAAGATAATGAAACTTATTCGTACAAATAACCTCAAACAGGTTCAACAGAATCAATCAGCTTGGTAAATGTAAAATAATACTGAAAAATTTAACTCTTACTCGAGATGAACGATAAAGTTGTTGTGCAGAATGACAATTAAAGGTCAAGAATCAACCATACATATCAGGAAATGCAACAGCACTAAAAGTGTTCGAAAAACACTTTGGTTGGACCACTAAGCCTTAAATATTTAATAAACAATGCCAATCACTTAATTGTTGGGTACCTATACGACAATTTTTGACGATAAACGTTATATTTCAAAAATGTATTTCATTGTTTTCTATGTTTGAGAGGCAGAGAGTTAGATGATTATTCTGCATGCTTACATCTAGATTACGTTGCGCATCGAATATCGTCAGAGTCAAAACATAAGAATACATGGACTTGGGCACATACAAGTAGGTTACAGCTTCAATCTAAACAGGTATTACGTATGCAGCCTCAAAACACTAATGGCACCAAAGAATAGACAGGTATCATTAATTTTCTACCATAGTACGCTAATATACCACATAATTACGATGATCTTCGTCTACTTCTTAGTGTATTCTCCATATACACATATAAGAAAACGTGCAACCCAAAGCAATCAAATAATTAAATACTGAAAGTACGAAGACTTCGATGATTAATTACCAAAATTATAATGTGATTGCATAAGAAAAAAGCTTACCAATAGCCATAACTTTGTGCCTAGAATCAGACCAAACACCAGTCTCCGAATCCTTACCAGCAAATGTAGTCACACCAAATTGTGAGCACAGTTTGATTCCGGCTTCTTCTAAAGCCCCAACGTACCACCTTAAACCACGACCTTGTAAAGATTTACACCGAAGATTAATTATCGGATAGGCTACGAGTTGTCCTGGGCCATGATACGTAATCAAACCTCCACGATCAGAACTGGAAAACACATTAGATTTGCGGTACGCAACATTTGGGATGGATATTAGGTCAAGAAGATAGTGTCAGTTACAATGGGTTAGTTGATAAAACAAGAAAGATCAGTACACAGAATCTCAAAATATCAACTGACTATAAAACTGAGTGATACAATCTTACAGATTTTTATATATCTCAGTCTTTTCTGAGGTATATACTTACATTGTCTCAGACAGTCACCTCCAAGACTATTTAGAAGTTGATTCGACACAATAAATAAACATTTTATTAAATTCGGTTTTGTAAACAGTTCTAGTCTAGTACTTTCACAGGACTGAAACAAACTTTGGGTGATATTTTATTACATGAACAGCCTTTCGTTTACGTATGTTTCAGTGTTAGGCCAACCTACCACGCCGAAATATAAATAAAAAGACAAATATCAAGAGGAATCGATATAAATTGGACTTAAAATTGAGAATATGGTTTAAAAAGACAGAATGGTAAGGTATGGACGAAGAGGTACTCCAATTTAAGATCAAGAGGAAGACAGGGTGAATGGATGCTCTCCATTGTGAACGATGAATCATATCACTTATCGTCTCCAATCAGTAATCTCGGTTATCATGCAAATCCCAATAAGATCGTCAAAAACAACCAGCAGGTATCAGACCGAGAGCCGAAAGTCATGGACTGGTCCTGTGTCTTGGTTCGGCTTCTGCAAGCTTTCTTACAACTTACTACTGCGCCAGTAAACACCACCCATCGAGATAAATAGAGGTTAACCAAATGTAACGCGCGTCCCAAACACCCCAGTTAACGAAGATTCACAACCACATCTTAGAAGTCTGATCAGCCCTACTGGGTTAGTGCCGGACTAAATCACTGCACGGATTCAAAAAGCTCGTTTGGCTTTTGCCAACTTACGTCACCTATGGCGAAGGCGAGATATCCGTCTATCAATAAAAGAACGAGTATACTGCGCGGCAGTGCGTTCTGTTTTAATTTACGGCAGCGAAACATGGCCATTAAGAGTGGAAGATACTCGTAAGCTACTATTATTTGATCACAGATGTCTTAGAAATATTGCTTGCATCTGCTGGGATCACCGGGTAAGTAATAGTGAGGGTAGACACAGGGTATTAGACAATGATGATAAATCAATTCATGAGGTTGTGCATCGTCACCGACTGAGATAGTTGGGTCATGTGTTACGGATGTCTGAACACCGATTACCATGACGCGCAATGCGGACTAGTTTTGGGGATGGTTGAAACGAAGTTAGGGGCGGCAAAACTAAAATGTGTCATCAGTTCTTGAAGTCACTAACTTCTAGTCTGAGCCATGTTGGGAGATGCAAAATATTTGGTTGGGGCCCGCGTGACCGTCGTAACCAATGGCTGGAAACTCTGGGTGACATGGCTCAGAACCAATCACAATGGCGTAGGTGCATACACTTTGTCTTCCCTTAAGCTGTGAGACTAAAATTGCTTTATACCTTTCTTTCTATGAACTAATTCTTTCTTTCTGTATTATATTTTGATATGAAACCTTTTTTTACCGCCACTGACGTGTGGTGTTCATCTTTCTGTGCTGAGGTGTGGTAACCTGGACCAATGCATATACGTGCCTGGTCCTACGTTGTGACTGACTCACCACAAAAACCGACTTTCCATCACTACCCAGTACCCTATGCCTAACATTAACATTGCTTACTTGGTCATTTGGAAATACGCGGAAAATGCTCCAAAGACACTTATGGTCAGAAACCTGCAAACCGCGTGTGCATTTTACATTAAAAGATCATAATTTCACACCCATAAAGTAATAAAGTAAATAGTGTGCAATATACACACCCTTTACTTGGTAGACAAACATTTCACTTGCGCCAAAAGTGATGTAATTTGACAAAGGACAACTGAGCTTTCTGAATCCATCCCCGGAAAATGACAAAGTAATATAATATGGATTAAATTCGTAAAATGTAATTGAGCTACCAAAACCCGTGGTTGACAATAGTTACACTTACTGAATCATCATTTCTGATGTTTGGACACAAGTTTTGGAATTTCGGGATTAATTACAATGTTCCTGTCTGAAGTAAGCAAGCGGTCCTAAAGTCCACAAACTGAATCTCTATTCCATGTTCTCACTCAGTCCCAGCGTCGGTAAATAACGCGCACAGTGAAAGACACTGGGATAACATTGGCAAAATATACCGAGACCGGAGGTTATGAGGTCAAAAACACGACTACCAGCCCATAATAAGCATGATGAGACCCCAGCATTTGGTGGATTGTAACGTGATCAATACACTCAGGATCAGGAAGGAAACCAAACGATCTCAGATTCCGAAATCTAGAACAGCCCAGTCATTTACCTGACGAGATGTTCGCCACCATCTTCAAAAAGAGCTAGGGGTGCTGACTCTTTATACCTGGTGGCTCATGGCGCTTTGAAACTTAGAACTCCTCAAAGACCTCTGCTTTGTTAGATGAGTCAGCAGTCGCTAGCCATGATCGTATGATCGACATTGTAATGGAAACACATCAGTAAAACAAGTCCTCATAAAAATCTGCCCATCGTCTGAGACGCTTTTGGACGTTACCGGATGACGTACCATCCATTTCAAAGATTCTTTAACTGATACAAAAATCAGGGGCTCAAATGTGTTGAGATAGCTTTCGACACAAGTAACAAAAAGATTCATAATTGCTTTAGGACTACCTTTGGTGAATAGTATACAGTTTTGATTACGTCAAGGACTGGCAAACAGTCTTGTAAAATTATGAGGTACCTACGCACCCTATGATCAATTTAAAAATTGTAACACTGAGGAAATTATAGGACCAGGGACCAGTGAGCAGCTGTTTAATTCGATTTATACACAATCCCCAAAAGGCTACCAAATAAATATATGTACAGAATTATTTTGTTAATCTTTATCAGCAATTGAAATTTTGGGTAGACACATGATAATAATCAATCAAAAAAACATAACTGACCTAACAAATTCAGCCCCAAGACGTTTGAGATGTTTAATCGTATACTCGCCATAGTCATTCATAGGATCTGTGTGGCGTATACCAATAGTGTAAACTGGACTGTGTTCCAGAAGTAAGATACAATGCACCAAAGGATTATCAAGAGACTTCAGTAGTTTGACAATAGACTTCTGAAGATCCCATGCAATGTTATATGGCACGCGACCGAGATAAAAACTCAACACAGAGACATTCATTACCGATAATTAATGGTGGTATGATCAAAAATACCTAGAGTACGAAAACGGTTAACACGAATAATGGTGTATCAGGAAACCTTATGTCTACATATATAAAAATCTTATCTGTAAAAAAGTAACGATAAGCAAAATTACTAAGACAAAACACAATATTCAGCAGACATAAATGAGCCGAGCTTTGCACTTAAATCTGCAGTGAAGCATTTCAACTATTGGTTCTTAGTGTCACTGGGTGTGTACTAAGTTTACGTCTATGGCATCATTTAATCTACCTTCCTACAATGTATGATCAAGCCCGGGCTTAGATACAGGATTGCTAGGAAATGCAGTAATCTGTGATTTGAAGAACCTTTTGGGACTGTTAATCTATTTAGGCTATCCTGGATAGCTGAACTGTCTGGACACTAAATAAGTCGACAAACAGCTGGACAAATGACGGATTAAAATATACTGGATAACTTTTGTCGGTACGTTGACTACGTTCACACGTCCTACGTCCAAGCAAACGACACTAACCACCTTGAATGACTAAACAACTAATTAGGAAGTAGCGTCTAGTTATAAAAACAATCAATTTATTTATTTATTTAAACACAAAAATTAGTGCAAGGAGCAACCAAATATATGTACGCCACACTTCGTCATTCGATTTGCGCGAAGGCTGTGAGCCAAAACCGAAGCCAGCGGTTTTCTTAGGAGACCACTTTCCAAGACCATGACCTAGAGACAGTGGATCAACATCCCTCGCAATCGCTGGCCAGTTTAGATCGGTCAATTCTCAATATATTGATAGCCTATCAAATATATTTTCGAACCTCCTGGCTTCTGTCTTTTGATCTCACTTGGTGGGTACGATTCATGGTCGAAGTCGTTGCTGGTTAGAGCGTTGTCAAACTCCAAGTATTTGTGGCATCTTCATTGGTAAGCCGACGTGACCTGGTACACCAACTTGCAAACTGAGTCTGTTCCTTTTCGGCATTTCATGTATCATTTCTTTATTCCAATTCTTATATATTGTGATATCTTTTAGTATTTTCGAGATATTTTTTCTGGTTTATTCCTGTTTTTCATATTTGCCATGATGAAACAGACACCCAAGGTACTTAAGCTAAAGACTATATCCCTACTTTCGTTCCAACTAATGCCTTTCTGGCCAGACAACATTGAAGCCTGATTCTGCTACTCAGGAGCCGACTTCTATGAGCACGGTGTGGGCGACACACGTGCACAGTTCCTCGCAATAGTGAAGGCGCTACCGCGCAAGTTTAACAGGTACGTAACACCAAGTGCGTCTACTAGTGACGTTTTGGAACCTTACGAAACTCTTGGACGATCTATCCCTAAACGCGGAGACCTAACCGATCGACAAAGGTTAGATCAATTCCTTAATAATATCGACCCGCAACACGGTTCTGCGACAAACATGCTGCTAAGAATGAGAGAAGGGATTGGCCAAAGAACTTTCGACGATGGCCTATTTAAACAACTTTCCTTGTCGAAACTTCCTCAACAGGTACAAGCTGTGCTGGTCTCGTTTCAAAACAACGCCACAGACGAGCTGGCTGCATCTGCCAATCGCATTTAAGATATCAACAAATCTTCTAACGTCGAGGTTTTTTCAGTCAAAGAAAGGCCTCAAGCGACACAGAATGGCATTACGGAACTGTCATACGCTAATCCATTATCTTTTATTTCGTAATGACCGTAAACGGTCACAAACCTCGCGAATGAGTGCTTCATGTAGGCAATCTGTCTCTAGACCACGAGATATAGATTACCACGACTAGTGTTGTGTCTTAACCAGTGCGGAAAGTCTTCTATGGATTGCAGAAAAGCCTGCAATTTTCCGAACTAAAAACCGATAGACAGAAAAAACATTTCGGGAAACTTCCTAGCCGGAAAAAATAGCCGTCTGTCATAAGTCACAGATGTGATAACGAAAGTCTGCTACCTCATCGATACTGGCGCAGAAGTTAGCATCCTTCCAGAAATTTCTAACGATCGGCTTCACGAATCGGTTCTAAACTTACTGTCGGCAAAGGAAATTCAGTCACCACATATGTTATTGGGTGAGTTTAGCTTAACGTGGGTTTAGGCAAACCTACCCACTGAGTTTTTGTTGTTGCAGATGTTTCTATACCGATCATTTGTATAGACCTCCAACAACACCACAATCTTCTCATGGAAAAACTAATTTATCTGTTTGAGTGAATTCTTTCACCGGCTGCAGATTATCTCCAGTCACAGTTAAGTACACGACAGACTCATTCCATCACTAGTTACTCGATAAGTACCAACGTAACCAACAATGTCACACATAACATCACGACTACAAAACCACCTGTATTCTAGAAAGCGTGACGACGCCTCCCCCGAAAAGCTGAGGTTATTTAAGAACGAATTCACCCACATGATAGACTTATGAATTATTCGACCGTCAAACAGCCCTGTAGAATTATGATCTTATTTATTTATTTATTTGAACACATAAATATTGGTACAAGAGAGCGCCAATATATATGCGCCACACAAAACAATGAAAATTCGAAGAGAGAAAAAAAACTAAGGAGCACAAGAGAAAAAGAGAACGATAACGAAGAGATTGGTGTAAGGTAGTGTGGTCGTAACGATGGAACGGAAAGGTACAATCAGAAGAAATCTTTCAAGTAAGGGAGACACAACCATTTTTTTTATGAAGAAAGTAAAAGAAGGTTACAGCAGGATCGCCACTGGCTTCTATTCTGAGCCATATCTGATAACGTCTCTAGCCACTGTGTAGCACCATCTCTCAGACCCCAACCAGAGAGTCGTGAAGGACCGACAGAAGCCAGTCCTTTGCAGCTTTCTTTCATACCACGACACCATGTCATGAACTGACCACCTCTCCGCTTTTCCCAACCAGTCCCAGCGTCGGCTAATAATGCACGACGTGGAATTCTTTGGGACGACATTCGTAGAACATGTCCAAGCCACCGAAGTCGGTGTTTCAAGATGGTGACACCAATTGAATTATCATCTCTGTGCCCAAACACACGATGCCGAACCTCCGCATTACTGACATGGTGTTGCCACTGAATGTCAGCAATCCTTCGGAGACGGCGATGATCGAACACAGAGAGTCGTCTGACGTCCTCAACTCGGAGAGGCCAGGTTTCATAAGCATAGAGCAAAACTGCTCTCACCGACGCGTTGTAGATCCGACCTTTTACAGCCAGACTAACATCACGAAGGCGCCAAAGGTGGCCCAGATTGGCATAAGCCACTCTGGCTTTCACTATACGTGCATTGATCTCATTCACACCCCCCACCAGCACTTATGCAGCTACCTAGATATACGAATTTCTCGACTACTTCTATCTGCTCACCATCCAGGGTGAGTACAGGAGTAGAATACTGCCAGTCTTGTAGAAGTACTTTGCACTTCGAAGGTGCAAAGCACATACCATACCTACGGACACTGATTATGGTCTACTATGATATTAGTACTGCTCTAATAATAGACAAAATCCTAAAATTGTAGATTTATCATGATATAACTGCCTAATCTGTAGGATCTTACGTGGAAGTCACATCATCGTCCACACCAACTCATCACATCATAACAATCACCAATTTATGATGGAGAACAAACTCAGGCTAGAGATAGAACAATATATTTAGTATGAATAAAAGGTATATAACAACATTCAAGGATAGCCATATCATCCGATCAATCCGAATTAATTCAATTTCTTCTTCCCGCCTTCCTCATGGTTCAGTTTTTCTCTGCGTCAAATGTTGAACATCTATTTCTTCAATTGTCTCGTTTTCAGCTTAGGTGATTGTGTACTCAGAGCCCAACTTTACTACAAGCCCATGGACATCTCGCCTACCAATGGTCTCTAAAAAGGACTACAGTGATTGATGTTCAACTGCTGATGACTGGCGATTGAATACAGAAACCATTCTCGATCGTTACCCGTCGCTCCACACTCATGATTTGACAGCTACCTTGAAAGGTAAAATTGCCTTTTCGAAAACCAATCTGGTGAAAGCCCATAACCGAATTCCTATGGCCGATAATGACACCCCTGAAACCGCTATCACAACTCATATTGGTCTCGACGATTTTTCGCGCACACCCTTTGACTTTAGAAATGCTGCACAGAAGTTCCAAAGACACATCGATGATGATTTTCGAGTTCTCAACGCCATATAAGCGTACGTTAATGACTGCTCGATTGAAAGGCCGCACAGAGAATCTCGTCTCCAACATCTGGACTTTGTTTTGGAACGACTACGAAAGCATGGCATTACTGCAGACATCCGAAAATGCCGAATCGAAACCCAATTCTTAGATTTCCTCGGACACACCATTGATGCTCAAGTCATCCGACCTCTAAGAAGCAAAGTGGCGGCCATTCTGGATTACCCAGAATCGATCACCATCAAGCAATTACGCATATTTAACGACCTGGTAAGTTTTTATAGACGGTTCATGACAAACTGCATATCCCTTATGAAGCCTCTAATTGACCAACTTGGTGGAACTGCGAAACCCATCAATCTGGACGACTCCGTGCGTAAAGCACTCTCCACAATTAAGGAACTTATTGCAAAAGCAACCATGCTTCCACATCAGGATACACAAGAACCGATTAGCATCGCAGTAGACGCATCCGACCCAGCGATCGGACGAGTCTTACAACAATGGGTTAACAACTCCTGGCAACCTTTGGCATTTTTCCCTAGACAGTTGCTAGACACCGAGTCGAGGTACATCACATTCGGTCGGAAACTCCCTTAAAGTAAGAGATTAAAATTGTTTCATATCTTTCTTTCTACGAATTAATTCTTTCTTCCTGTACTACATCCTTATTGCAATCTTTCTTTTATATATTACCACCTCTGAATTAACTACTTTTATGGATCCGGTGTCCATCTTGTTGTGTTGATGAGGTATGGCAACTTGGACCGATGCATATATGTGCCTGATCCTACGTTGTAGCTGACTGACTGACTGAACTCTTAGCTATGTATTGTGCCGTACGGCATTTTCAACACTATATCGAAGGTCGTAAATTCACCCTTTTTACTGACCATAAACCTCTTACTTTCTCGTTAAGCTCCTCTTCAGACAAGTACTCTCTCCCTGAGTCTCGACAACTGGACTACATTTCGCAGTTTACTTCAGATATTCAACACATTTCTAGAGCGAAAAATGTGATCGCAGACGCCGTGCCTCGCATAAGTTCCTTGAACAGTTTCCAAGGAATCGACCTTCTGAAACTTGCCCAGAAGACACTGATCTTCAGCACGAGTTATCGTTTACAACACTCAAGCTATGCATCAAACAGATGGAAATAGGTAAGTAAACCTTACTTTGTGACACGTCTACACGTAGGGATCGCCCAATAGTGTCGAAACATTATCGACTCAACGTCTTCACTACGTTGCACAAATTTTTTCATCCAGGTGTTCGTGCAACCATCAAACTCAGAGCAGAAGGATTTTGCTGGTATGGTATGAATAAAAACGTGAGTGAGTGGGCACGCTCCTGTGTAAGCTTCCAAAAATCCAGGGTTATTAGATACAAGAAAATTCCTTTCGGCTCTTTCAAAACTCCTCATGCTCGTTCCGACCGTGTTCAGCTGGATTTAGTAGGACCTTCACCAGATTCAAATGGATACTAGGTATTCGTCAGGCAGCGAAAGCTGAAGTTGGATTCACTGCAGCTCTGTAAGATCCATTT